AAACGTCAGAAGTAAGCATATAGACCAAGGTCATTTTTGGCCTTTGCTCCAAGGCAATTAGTTGGGGTCATATTTTGCTTGATTTTGTCTTTTCAGCTTAATTTAGCGAATATTATACTTTCAGGAAAAACTAGAGATGTTTACTTAAAAATAGGTACAAAATTCATTGACAGATGGTGCAAATACAGTGCGGCACAAAAAGCCAAATTTTCAATTTTCAAGACGTGTAAACTGGCCGTGGCGCTACAAAATACTTGGCGCCCCCCAGCACAGCCAGAAAGTTATTGTGAATCAAAGCAAACATATTTTAGTTATTGCCGCAATAAAGCCTTTCACTTGCCAGAGTTTTAGGCAAAATTATTTTTTTTGCGAAATAGAGTACTAAAGCCATGACGTCACGTTGCGTGGCAACGGAAAAATTTGGGTCTAAACAAAATGGATGGAGTAAGTCATGGCGGCACTTTCGATATCATCGCTGGCTTCCTTTTTCTCTGATGAGCAGAAGTCCTTAACAAGAGGTGAAAATCATTATCAGTCTAATCACATAGAAAGTTTTTCCTTCAGTGATGGTGTCATTCGTGGAGAAGTTCACGCTAGCATGAAGAAAAAAGTGTATAAAGTGACGGTAAGTGATCGATACTTTCAACCATGTTGATTCTTGTCGATTCTATCAACCAAATGGCTTTTATGCATTTTGTGGCTTCACTCAGTCATGTTGATCGTTATTATATCTAATACAAATATTTAAAAGAAAGCTTAATCCACGATTTGGAGGCCTAAACGCAACCGACGGTACCTCGCTCTGTTTTTTATGTTGAAAGGTAATTTCACCACGTTCCCCATCATGAATTAAGCTTTAATATATGAAAACTTACAAACGCCTTACAGTTCCCCAAATAATACCAGTTTTCTCCGCGATTTTAGATTTATTTAGACGAAGAGAAGAACATTAAATCAACGGATTGTGAGTGTCCGCGAGGGATCGTTAGGTGTAGTCACGCTGCCGCTTTGTTTATACATGGCCTATACAACCTCAGTAGAACAGACATTGAATGCCAGTAGAAAAAGCGAAAATCCACAAACTAGTTGCTGCCGTCAGTGTAAGAAATGTTTCCTCCTGCATAACCTGCATACCGTGCTCTTTTAAGAGACCCAACTCGTGAAGAACGTAGTGGACTTTTCCAAAGGCTGAAAAACTATGGTAAATTTACTGGACTTTATTGGCTCATGAGCCCTGAACCACAGACTCAGTCTAAGTCCTTGCCAGTTGCTACAGTAGAGGATGTTATTTTCCAAGAGGAATTTCTACTGTTGCAAGGCCTCCAAGAACAACGTCAGTATTTTCTGAATAAAGTCAGTGTTGAATGGAGAACTATTGAAGATGTAAGCCGCCTTACTGCTGGACAAAGGGACAATCCTTCTTGGCAAATGATCAGGAGGGGTCGACTGACAGCAAGTAACTTTGGTTCAGTTTTAAATGCCAAGCGTGTTACCCCGTCCTTAATCAAACGCCTTCTTGGTGAATACGATCTATCAAGGGTGAAAGCTGTCCAGTATGGGGTATGCAATGAATCTGAAGCCATTAACGCATTCAGGCTCAAGACTGGCCTGGATGTGGTGGAAACAGGTGTGTGGCTACACCATTCTGGAGTCCTCGGTGCCTCTCCTGGTGGATTGGTTGGAGAAGATAGTGTTCTAGAGGCTAAGTGCCCCTATACACACCGAGATTTGACTATTGAGGAAGCCATTAAGACCAGCAACTTTTACCTTGAAAAGAAGGATGGGGAAATTGTGTTGAAACGTGACCATGTTTACTGGCACCAAGTCCAGGGCCACTTATTTCTCACCAAGAGAAAGAAGTGTTAGTTTGTCATCTGGACGCTGAAAGATTTTGTAGTTCTTGAAATTCAGCGGGATGACTCTTGGGAGATTAAGATTGAAGAACTGAAAGAATTTTATTTGAAACACCTTTTCCCAAAAATTATTGAGGGAGAACTCTAAAACTTTCAATTCTTTTTTTTATTATTATTTTTCCATTATAGGGCACTTCTTGTATGACTGAAACACAATTTGTATGTTGTGTACAGGGCTATACATGATATGGGCTGTCCACCTTTCAAACTTGTTGCTGTTCGGAAAATTTTCAATTTCACAGTATTTTTATTCCTAAATAATAATGTATGAAATGTAACCTGTTAATTTTATTGTTTATAGTTCCTTAGTTTGTGACAAACATTAAAATAAGTTTCTCTTTGAAAACTTGTTATGACTGAGTCTGTTTCATTCAATCCTTTAACTCCTAAGAGTGACCAACTTTAAGTTTCTCATAAGTTATAGAAACACTACCCAATCAAACACATGACTGTTAACCCTCTAAGTCCAAATGTACAAATACACATACAAATCCTGCAGACTGAGCAGACTGATATTATACATTTTCTTAAAGTATTAGCAAGAGAATGTGCAGTAGTACATGTATCATGAATCATAAAAATTTATTTTGATGTTATGAAACGAGCATGCATATACAACATTAAGAAGGAAATATTAAATCACTCCAATTGCTTCACTTCCTCTGCAGGCATCCTGAACTTAAACATGTACCATAACAAAAGCCTACTGACAGAAGATCTTAAAGAATATAATGATTAAAGAACAATAAAAAGTACACCCAACTGTACAATATTGCTTTTGAGAATATCACTTATGTATCCACTTAACTGGCAATGTACATTAAATTTCCTAGTCAAAGTCTGTTCCCTCACACCCCTCTTTAATTAAAGGAAACTGCAAGTTGACAATAGCAGCACATAACTGAAACACTTTGTCAATGTGAGACCTTAAGTATGGAGGGACAAAACTCAGAATTTTAAAATCTTTGAGCCTTGCATTTGCCCTTTCAACATGTATGCGACATCTAGCAATTGACTTGGTTAACTTGGCCTCACTTTCAGTAAATTTACCGTGTTCAAGAAATGGTGGAATGTTCACAGACACACCCTTAGGAACAATGTCTTGAATGAGAAATCCTTTGTCTGCTAAGATCAGATCACCAGGAACAAAGTGCTGTAGAAAACCAGATTGCTGGACAATCTCTTTGTCAGAGATGGATCCAGGGTAGAGGTTGCTAATGTAGGTCAACACTCCATTAGGTGCAACCCCTGTCAAAACTTTGAATGAGTTCATCCCACGGTAACTTGAATAGGTCACATTTTGTTGACTCATAAGGCTTGGTGTGGCCACTTCAATGTCAGTACAATCAATAATAATTCTGCAACTCGAGAACTCTGAAAAGGATGATGGCGAACACAAGCAGTTCTTGTTCCTGGAAGGAATCACTCTCATCAGATCATCAAACAGCAGTGTATGTAAGATGTGTACAAATGTTATAACTATGTTAGAAATTGTCCCAACACTGCATGAAAATAGCTGTGCCAGGTGTAAATTGGTGTAGTTTTGCCGTAATTTCATAAGTGTTATGAAGATTTGGTCCTCAAAGGTTATGGACTCGACTTTCCATCCACAGTAATAAGAAATGGAGTCCATGAATTTAGCTGTATAATCCACTACAATTGTGAAAATCTCCTTTGTTGGTAAACCAGTTTCCATTCTGATTACTTCAGAACTCAAGTTTGAAACAGAGTAATGTTTTTTCTGATACTGCATGGTGTCCTGGTGATAGTTCAGCTCCTGCTTCGCTACGTTTAATTCTGCCTCTAAGATTATTTGCTCAGTTGGAGTTGAGGATCTTTCGTCCCATGTATCTGAAGACTCTGTAGATTTGGCATTAATGATGGCCATGGTATCTTTAACAGTCGGTAACTTATTAACCAATGATTTGGGTTTCTTTTTCTTTTTCGGAGGAGTTTTTTGTGACGGGAATAGTTTATCAGCATTCCACTTGAAAATTTCCGGCCCTGCAGATTTCTTTCCACGTCTGAAATGACAGCTGCACACTTTGGAATGCTTGCTTGGTTTTCTGTCAGCTCTCCTGATATAGAACATTACCCTTCAGATTAACATTAAGAGGTTTAAACAACGCCAGAATTTTAGCTTAAACTATCGGAATACTACTTGTGCCTTACACTTCTCGCCATACATTTACAAAGCTCAAGTATTTCTTTATCACCGTTATCATTGTAAACAAACTTGCACCCAAATTGCACGATGGTGAAAAACCATACAAAAACAGCAAACATTCAGCCTACCTTAGTAAGCGAACCCATCGGTCATATTCTTCCTTGTCCTTATCTGGATTTGGAAACAGAAAGAACCGGCAAATATGCGAGTCCGAATTATGGTTACATTCACTGTGGGGATCGACCACCTACTCACAGATAAATTTCTCCATAAAATCGCACGTACAGCTTCAAACGTTTGCATCGAGCACAACAGTGGAGTCCATAAACCATTGTTTTTTTCATTCTTTGGAATAGAAAGTCCTTCATGTCGAGATTATTTAGCGAACAATACGAAACCGCAATTAACAATGGCGTCCGTATTGCAGCCTGGTTTTGTTTAGACCCAGAAAAATGGTTGTCATGACAGCGTGACGTCACACTTTAGTACTCTATTGAGTGGGCGGTTTTTACTGAGACAACCTCTTAATATTATGCTAGTGGAACATATGCTTACCTGTTTACAGGGAGTGAGTCTCCTGGTTTTTACAATTAAAATATGACATTTACAACTCGTTTATATTTGTTTCAAGTCAAATTTACCATATGGCATTACATTTTGATTTTTCTACAGCGATGTATGTAACTGTAGTGTATTTACATGTATCGTTTGTACATAAAATAATTAATATAAAGGGTTTTACAAAAATAAAATATTCAGGAATCTTTCTCAATGGAATTCTTCTCGATTATATGTAAGTTGGTGGTGGTTAGAAAAAAAAAAGGAGCAAAAAAAACTTCTCTTATGCAATAATATTGAGATACAACCAAATTTAGTTGAACTGTGTGTTGTATAATCTTTGTGATTTTTTATCCAGGACTATGGAGTGGACAGTAATACACGATACTTTGTTATGCCATGAGGTACTACTAGAAGAACCTTACAAGTATAACAAAGGAAGTAATGAAAAAGGTAAAAAGTGGACTGAAATAGCTGAAGCCTTGAATGAGAGTGGAGACGTGAAATTTACAGTCACTCAAAGAGGTGTCTGAGAAAGGATGGAACGGCTTAAAAAAAGAAGCACTTGGAAAAAAAGAAAGGAGAAGAATCAGCTAGTCGCATTCCAGTAGATGACGTAACTGAACTTTAAACTTTAATCAATGAAACAATATATCGAGATGAATTGGCAGAAGAATCCAGAGATTCTGAGGGAGCCCTAAAAAAGATTGAGGCAGACAAACAAGATGCAGAGAAAATGCGAAAAGAGGCCTTGGAGCGATTTGGAAAGACAAAAAAAGATCTGAAGCTGAGGGTTATCATCGGAGGCAGACCAAACGAAGGCAGAGTGGAAATGATGTAGGGGAGTTTTTTGAAGGAAAAAACAGCGGGGGAAAATCAGTTTCGAGCAGAAGAACTTGCCTTAAAGAAACAACAACAACAAGAAGCTGCAGGACGGGGTCGGATTTTTGCTATAATGCAGCAGCAATGAAGACCCTTATTGACAGATTGCTACCAAAGAAATCGTAAACATGGTTCAAGGTCTCTGCCTTTTTGTATTGATGATGTTACCCTTTGTTGGTTATTTTTGTGTTAACTGGGGTTGTCATTATTCGATACTTTTGAACCATTTAGTCCAGTTAAGAATTAGAAGTAGGCAGGTTTATTTTGTAGTTTAAATTTGTTTTTGGTAAATTTAAACCAGTTTGGTTTTTCTATTTCTCAAAAAAAACTGTTCAATAACAGGGTTCGTACAACAGGACCACATTAGAGTTTCAAGGACCACCTACCAGGAATATAATTTCACAGACTGTACAAAAATGCACATTCAAAGGTTATTGTTAAGACTTTAATGTTTGAACTGTTTCCTTCACCAACTTCTCTACATTTTTCAGTTCACTTGTCTTCAACTGATAGTTAATTGTCGCATAAAACATAAAGCGATTTACATAAATAACCTTTCAATTTTCTGAGCTATGAAATATAGTCTGTCTTGGACAACCAAAAAGCAAAAAATTCTTTCCAGGTCACTACATTCAAAGTTCAAGAAAATTCAAGGACTTTTGAACCCTGAATAAAATTTCACACCAGAAGCAAACTTAGACCCCAAGAAATAAACATCAAATGACAAAAGTTGGAAGAATTTGACAGTTCATCAAAATTTTACTGAAAGAGTAGATGCAAAATGTCATTTCTGACGAATGAGCCCACGAAGACAGAAATAAATATTTTGATGGCACAAGATACAACCGGGCCTGGGTACTAGGCCGGGGCACCATGGGTAGTCATACAAGGGGTACATAAGGCTGTGTATATCACGTAAACATCATTTAGGCTTTTAAACCAACCTCTCTTTAGTTTTTCTAATTTTTTGTTTTATTTAATTTTTGGAGCAATCTATTCTCGATTACATTGTAAAATCCCGTAGGAAGGGCATTGAGCTTGAGCCTTGGTTCCTACCCAGACTTCCTGCCCGCATTTTTTCCCTTCGGGGTTTTTTTGGGCAAGCTTTTTCTGGCCTCCATCTGACCATGTTTATTTCAGTTTGTAAGCGGTAGCTCAGCCCTGATAGTTTTCAGCTTTTTCCCTGTTTCTTTTTTATGTACAGTAAAAACCCGTAACTAAGAACCTACATTTTTAGGAGTTAGCCTAAACAAGTTCTTATATAAATGGTAGTTAACGGAATTTTAGGCTATTTAGGTTCTTCAAATGGGTTCTTAATCCTGGAGAAAAAACAATGCATAATGGTGTGCTGATCTACATATTGCTTAGTATGCTTTGTAAGTCTACATATCTTGCACTCATTTTTCTTTAAAAAACATTTTTACAACAATGGCAATCTGCTTTTTTTGCTTCAAATATGATTCTTGCAATGCAGCTGTAATGTACTAGTATGATTTTATAAAATAAGAACCTGTTTTAAATTTCTTAGGCTAAATAGGTTCTTGTTTATAGGGGGTATAAATGACCAATTTTAGGCTAACAGGTTCTTAATTTTTAGGTTCTTAGTTGCAGGTTTTTACTGTACTTGTACACTTATCACAGTTTTGCACCTGCTCCTTTACTTGCTATATTTAGTTTCTATGTATGCTTAGGTTAGCTGACTTGGAACCACTCTTTAGGTGGCGATATAAGTCAAGTTAGACACAGTTAGATTGTGAGCAATGTTACAGACCTCTAGCCAAAGTCGTCATCCATTTGTCTACGTTAAATGTCCTGCCCTAGCCTTTTCTGGCAGCCATTCTGGCAATTGGGCTACCTACCTTGTTGGGTACATTAAGATAATTCACAGTTTTCCCAGTACTCAGTCTCTGTGCTCCTGCAGTGTTGCCTGTCCCAGTTATCTGTTGATCACAGTTTTATTATGTTGTCCAGCCTAACTGGCGGCTCAACTGGCACTAAGCCTGTGTGCTTAATTGGGGGATTCAGGTCGAGATCAACCAGTTTTAACAGTTTGTTCTTTTTGCTTAGCCTCTGTGCTCCTATAGTGTTCCATCTCCCAGTTATCTGTTCATCAGAGTTTTATTGAAGTTTCCCCAGCCTAACTGGCGGCCTGTCACTAAGCCTGCTAGCTTAATTAGGGGGATTCAGGTCAACATCGACCAGATGTAGCAGTTCTTTCTTTCTGTGAAAAATAGTGTACGAGTGTTGTACATTAGTTATTCACCTATTGCTGTATTTACATACACACTTTGCAGGGTTGGTTCTTGCCAAGCCATGCCAAACTAAACTCATTTGCCTTTCACATTTTCTGTTGACGTTGTGTAGTGGTGTCAAAATAATATGATTTTAATTCTACTCACAGTAAGTTACTGTATGGTCCTTACCATACAAGACGACTTTGGTTGTGAAAAAAACATGTACAATCAACAGTCGAGTTCATGTTCCATTTCTCATTTGGGGAAAAAACCTCACCATTTCTGAGACTCAGCTATAGGAACTCTTAACTTAAATGCAATAACTGTTGAATTTTTACACTTTTAGGCAAAGTTATCTGGCAAACTGGGTGGGTCAACCTCAAAAAACTCTGCTGTTTGGTTGCCACAGAGGCAAGTGAGGCAAAAAATTACTACACTGATGATCGAACTTCACTCATTGCTGAATTGCATGCCTGCATTTGAGGAGTTAACACTCGATTGCAAAATGGTGCCTGCAAATGAATCCTCAAGGGATAAGCAGGGTCCCCATAGATGCACATTGGCTGCCCATGAAGATCGAAAGCAAACACCTGTAAACTCTGCAGAAGCTGAGAATCCCGAAGCATTCCAGCATCATGCCTTCTTCTTCAAGAAAAAATCTTATTAAAAATATCATGCTTACTATTGGCAGATAATATATGTCACTACTTAGTGAATAATTAGATTCCCGTATTTCACAGACTATCCTCACCTCCTATCATGCATCCTGTCTCCTGCTTTTCAGAGGACTAGAATGCTTAAGTGAAAATAATACTTTTCTTTAGACTTACACTTTTGACCAGTCTTACAGGTGGGGGCGGGGCGGGCCCACCATCTTTAAACCAACCCCCTTTTCTTGAGCACCTGGATCTACCACTGACTACCACCTTTTACATGTAAGGGAAACTTCAGGAACAGAAGTTCTTACCAACAGGGCCATATAGGTATCCAATAATCCCATTTGGCAGTGCTAGAGACTGAAACTTGAGAGCATGCAATCTTTTATGAGTGTTATAGACAATTCTCTGATTATTATCAGGCTTCGCAATAGGCCTAACTGTTCCATCAACAAAACCAAAACAGTTCTGCAATGGTGACCCTCTTTGGGAGATAACTTGGGCATAGATTTGCAATGCTGGTGAGTTCAACACCACAGGATTCAATTTCGATGACTATGGACTGGAAACATGTAATCGAGCACTTTGTTGGTGACCATGCTCAAAACAGAGACAGGAACGAGCGAAGCGTGGTACCATATCAACGTACCAGCAAGGGTAAGCAAAGCGTTTTAGCAGCATACAAAGGCTTATGTGCCCTTGGCTTTGCTTCGCGGATTACAGCTAATCCAGTCTGGGATTTGAAGTGCTTCTGTGAGTGCGGGTATATTTCTCTTCTTCACTCGAAATTCTGCAAGGTATTCAACATCTTCCATATCATCTAGACGGAAGAGCGGACATGAACTGTAAGGTAGATATCAGCTCGGAACACTAGTACTGTTCGTACAAAAACATGAATTCTTCGTCTTTAAGAATCCCTTGGTCACAGCAAAGTAAAATAAAATCCCTTGTTTCTTTTAACAAAGTCATTTAGAGTTTGTAGACGTTTTCTAACTTGTCAGCCGTACTATTTGTATTTCGCGTTCCTTAAAGTTGAATTTTGGTGGGCTACGGCGACGTACTTTCCCCAGACCTCCTCAACCACGATAGCTGTAGCAGCGCCAGCCATAGCGATCTGCTTAAACGCCCTATTGTCAGTAGTTTAAAGGTTGATGGAATTCTTACTGATAAATTGGTCGTAAGACAATTTAAGATGAAATTTTTGTTTGCTTGTAATAATAGGTACAATTGTTCCTGCATCAATATCAAATCGTGTCTGCTTCAAAGGAGGTATGAATGTAAGATATAAGAGTAACTAAGCATTTGCAGTTAAGCAGTCTATATAATAATTCCAGATCTTACCATTTTCCCCTTTTTTTGAGAAGTAAAATTATGGATACACTGTACTGGTTAAATGTCGCTGAAAAAGTCCTCATCAGTAGCAAATTCCGATGACTACATTAATGGTATTATAGCATGGTCAGGGCTGTCATCGGCAGCTGGCTAATGGATTCCAAACTCGGTTAGTAGTATGATCAGTGGACTAGATTCATGCTTCTGAAACCCTGAAAAGGGTAAAATTAAAGATGGTTTTGTTTCAGTCGTGCACAATAGAATTAAAAACCACGAAGTCCATTAGCCAAGATCCTTCTTGTTCAGTTGTGGCAGTTGCTGGGATTAAAAGCAGTTGTTCAGATGTTTTTTGCTGAATATCATAGCAAACAATATCGACTTGAGCAAGTTTTATATTAAACAACATGGGCCATTTAATGTTCCGGTCTTGAATGTTGATACTTCAGAGCATCAAACAAAAATTGAATTGCTGAAAGGGGCAAAGTTTGCTGGAAAGTACATGATGGTTATGGAGGGAGCTGGATGTG